CTTAACCAATATGGCACAAAGGTAACTAGCAAACACTTTAATTAATTTATATTTGGAAAGATTAGACTCTACTTGTCAACTGTTTTTAATCCTAGGAGGAAAACTAGATGGGCCACGGGATCGGGGAAGCCTACAAAACGCAGCGTTTCGGCAGAAGGTATGTCAAAACATACTTCAGGGGAATGACTGCAGCGCATAGGAGACTTTCTGAAGTAAAAACATTTCACCACGACTGAGTGGTAGTTTCACAACTGTTTACATTTGTTAGAAATTCATTAAACAGTATACATAAAATTGTTGATTTTTACTATATGCTATGTTATACCTCAGTGACTCTGGTGTCTATAAAGCGTGTATGTCATGAAAGACAACTTTTAGAAGGCAAGGGTTCTAGACGGAAGGATACGAAAGAGGTCTGCCAAGTGGGTGCACCGTATGCTCTGTGCCTCGATTCTGTGTCTCTCCCCACAGAAAGCTGTTAACAGGCATTTTGGGGGCAAAGTGGAAACGTGAATATGGACTGTCGGTTAAACTGTACAGCATCAGTGCTAAAGTTCTCGTCTTTTGAAAGTGCGGTCATTGTCCTGTGCTTCTGTAGGAGAATTCCCTTTCTCCGCAGACGCGCGTTCAGGTATTTGGGAGGGAAATACAGGAATGCCTGCCATCTAGTCTCCCGTGGTCCGGAAGCACGCGCACTGAGCGCGGGGACCCGGCCACCAGCCGACGGGGGCAGCGAGCGCAGGCACGCCTTGCAAGAGCACTTCCCCGAAGGCCAGCGGAGAAGCAAGACGTGGAGGGACATGTCCCCACGCCGAGGGAGTATGCGGCCGTGCAGTATGCAGATGGGACCGAACCAGCACAGAAGATGATGGAGCAGCACAGAAAGGCTATCAGCGAGGAGCCGAGTCTCCCAACCTGTGAGAGGGGTGTGAACGCAGGGTCCAAAAGGAAGGAATCGCCTACGACGACACGGACGATGACAGCGAGAGGGGGCATGAGTGCCCATGGCGACAATGGCCAGGCACTGTTTAAAGCACGTTTACTTGGGACGCCTGGGTGGCTCAGTTGGTTGGACGACTGCCTTCGGCTCAGGTCATGATCCCGGAGTCCCGGGATCGAGTCCCTCATCGGGCTCCCAGCTCCATGGGGAGTCTGCTTCTCCCTCTGACCTTCTCCTCGCTGATGCTCTCTCTCACTCTCTCTCAAATAAATAAAAATAAAATCTTTAAAGCACGTTTACTCCTTTAATTCCCACAGCAGCTTTATGGTAAGGGCACTGCCAACATCTCCTCTTACAGATGAGGAAGCCGAGGTACAGAAACACTAATGAACTTGCCCAGTGACCGTATCTAATCAATAGCAAACCGAGCTTCGAACCCAATGGAAGAGACTTCGGCCCATGCGACAGGTTGGCAGGGGCTGCCAGGGGGGACAGGGACGTAGCTCGGATGTGAGGACATCTGTTTTCCCCGCGCAACACAAGTTCATCAGCTGGGCAGGGCGGGGGTGGGGGGCAGAGGGGATGCTGGGGAGGGAGGGCAGGGAAGTGTGTCTCCGCCAGAAGGCGAGTGCAGCTCCTCGCAGTGACTGGCAGGACCGACTGCTCCTGTGGAATGAGCAATCATTAATGGGCAGCGAATCCGCTGGTCCTGACTAGATGGTATTTTCTGGTAATTTTCAGCTCTTGAGAATCCGCGAACAGGCATACAGAGGAGAGCTGGGTTTAACTGGGGCAGGGGGTGATTTTTATAGACAAGTGAGACCTAAGAAGAGAAGCCAGGGCGTAAGTAAGGGGGCTTGCCAGAGAGCGGTGCGCGTATGCGGGTGGGACGCGGGCTCCACGAGGAGGAAGGCAGGACCGCTCCAGACGGGATCCGCACGGAAAGAGCGGTGGGTCGGAGGCCTGCAGCTGTGTGGTGAGAAGTAGCTGGGAGTGTGGGTTTACAGTAAGAGGTAAGTAGGGTGGGAGGCTTGCAGCAGTGCCATTCCTGATGACGACGAGGTCCAGAGTATGACCATGACCATGTGGGTGGGAGGTTCACGGGTACAGGATAAAACACAACAGGATGGGGCACCTGGGCGGCTCAGCTGGTTGAGTGTCCGGCTCTTGATTTTGGCTCAGGTCATGATCTGGGGGTCCTGGGATGGAGCCCCGAGTCTGGCTCCCCATTCACCAGGGAGTCTGTTTCTTCCTCTTCCCCTCCCCCCACTTGTGCACATGCTCTCACACTCTCTCTCTCTCTCAAATAGATAATCTTAAAAAAAAAGACAAAAGACAATGGGATCCAAAAAGGCCAGGGTGCTGGATGAGTGCTCCACGTGGAAGTTGCGGTCACCCAAGGAGCAAAAGCAGTGGCAGAGAGTCATCAGTCAAGGTGGGAGAGAAGACGGCGACAAACCAGGGTGAGGGGAAGAAAGCCTGACATTACACCCTTGAAGATGGCGGGGTGAAGGGGGGGACGGGGAAAGAAGGGGAGGTCATTTGGAAGTCGCAGTGGGGAGCAAGGATATACCCACCCCACCTGCAGGCTCACAGGCACACAAGGTGCGGAGGCAAAGTCAGATTCTAACCGTCAGAGTGAGAAGGTGGAGGCGCCGTTCAGAAAGAGACTGAGGGCACAGCGCGACACTTGGCACGTGGCAGATACTCAACCAATAGTTTTTAAATTTGAATCTTAACTTTTCAAATAGTTTACTATACCCTAAAAAGGAAACAACAAAATTTATTTATAAAGAAATCAAAACCAGATTATAAAGGAAATGATCTTCTAATAATTGTATTTTTCAAATCCATGAAAGGCTCATTTTCAAAAATTAGCCCCCTGGCCAAGATCAACAGAGTCGAACAGCATCGTATTGTTTTTGGCTTGGTAAATATGAAAAACTCACTGTCATAAAATAAAACCAGGCATTCTCTTGCATAAGAATTCAATATCAGAACAAAATTAAGTGAACTCTGTCTTGTTGAAGCTTAGGTAATAACCGTTCTGAGCATAAGCTGACCGGAACTGAAATCTATTATGGTTCAAGCAGAGAAACCCAGGCACCTCTGAAGTAAGAATAAGTTGTATTTCCTAAACGTATTCTTTGAGTGTAATACATGCACTGTGGAATATATCATCCTTTCCGAAGTACTGCAGGACTGCTCCATGAGAGCTCTGGAGGACACCTTTACTGAAGCAAGAGAAGTTCCTCTTAATGTTCCAGTTTTGCTTTTTAAAATTTGTTCTTGATATCTTCGGAAGACTAAGAAAATGTCATCATTTATGCTTTAGCGAGACAAATGCTTATGTACCAATGGCATAATGCCACTGTGGCTCAGTCGGTTGAGTGTCTGACTCTATTTCGGCTCAGGTCACGATCTCAGGGTCATGAGACTAAGCCCCACACAGGGCTCTGCACTCAGTAGGGGAGTCTGCTTGAGATTCTCTTTCTCTCTCTCTCCCTCTGCCCCCGCCCCTGCACACGTGCACGCATGCACACACATGCTCTAAAAGAAATAAATCTTTAAAAAAAGAAATCAAGCTGCCTCCTAAGCATTTGTTTTTTTTCTTTTTAAGAGAGGTTGGGTGGGGAGGGGCAGAGGGAGGAGAGAGAGGAGCTTAAGCAGGCTCCACACTAGGCGGGGCTCAATCTCACAGCCTGAGATCATGACCTCCTCAACATTTCTTTGTTTTCTTAAGGTTTTATTTATTTATTTATTTAATATTAGAGAGACAACCTGAACCGGAGAGGGACAAAGGGAGAGAATCTCAAGCAGGCTCTGCGCTGCGCATGGAGCCCAATGTGGGGCTCGACCCCACAATCTCAGGAGATCATGACCTGAGCCAAACCCGAGGGCCAGCCCTCAACCGACTGAGCCACCCGGGTGGCCGTCTGAGCTCCAAGCATTTCTAGTAAGCTGTGTGCACACAGCTCCAAGAAACTCTACAGTCCTCTGTGGTCTTAAAATGTACAATGAATATCAAATACTTTTTCTCTAAGACTAAATTTTATTGGAATTTATCTAGAATCCCTTTTTTGTTTTTGTTTTTTAATAATTATATTTGGTTGTTTAACTATGATCATCCGTCAGAATGTGGACTGGTTCAGCTGTGGGTTCAAAAGGCTTTTCATTTTTTAGCTTATTCATAAACTATGAGGTTCTTACTACTGGATAAAAAAATATACTGGTAGTTCCATTAAACCAGATAAAAGAATTTGAGAAGGACAGCCAACCCTCCTTGTTTCATCAGAACCTAACATGATATGTCAGAGAAAGCACTCATCAACAATATACACTGTGCTCATTTACAGCACACGGCGGGCTCTGCGAGTAAGCTATTTTCTCTTCCCCATGAAGAGCCAGCTGGAAGTAATCTCGCCTTTCCTAAATGTCTTTAGTACTTTGTATATTCTTTATGAGACCTACTCTTTGGAGCACAGTGGTTTCTGGGCTGATTTTTCTTTCTAGATTATAAGCAAGATGGGTTAACTAAAATCTTTAGATGATCTCAAGGTATTATAGCATTATTTGCAATTTATGTAATACCCAGCACTAGTAGGAGAACAAAATGGAATGGTAACACGATCGATACCAAACACATCAGGATTGTGGACTAAAGAGGCTTGTGATGCTTGCTCTGGGAATTACGTCACCATTTACAGAATTCAGGAAACTGCTCTGAATTCCCAAAACGCAACTTACAAATTCACTCTCAGAACCCAGCAGGGAATTCTTACACTGTATGTATAACCTGAGAGGCCACAGTAAGCCTGTAGAGCAGTTAAGATGCTAACTTTTCCGATTCTGTAAACAAGAGAATGAATTAAAAATACAGTAATAGAGAGTATAGGGATTTTAAAATAATCTTTTGTGGAAAAAGTGGAAAATGTTTCAAAATTAACGCATGGATATGTATCTGACCAACCAAATATTTTAAATGTCTCTTGGCTCATCCAGGGAATACTGCTTAAAGAAAGCAAACTTGTGTTGTTCATAAACCCAAATTTCAACTTACCATTTATGTTTATTGCTGGTAACACTATTGACATTTTTGGTCTTGTGGTCTTGTTGTGGGTGGTGGCGGGTAACAGCAGGTGATCCTAGAAATAACAAAGAACAACCTGTTAGAACCACTGGCTTAGTCTTATAAGAGGCCCAAATCAGAGTTCCTGAGATGTCAACATTTTACTGGGATCACAACCAAAAATGACATTTTTTATTTTAACTTGGCTTAGAGGCAATTAACTACAAATCATCTTATGATTTACTGAGTGTTGATCATTCCCAGGTGCCACGTAGTATCCTTAGAGAACTCCTCAGTTCTGGTAACATACACGCTGTGTAAACACTTTAAAGGCTACTGGTAAGGAATCCGAACAGGACTGTCACTCTAGATCTAGCCACTGACAGCTGTATGATCTGGCTCTGTCTCCAATCCTATAAAATGAGGGGGCTAGGCTAGATAATATCACAAGATACTGAAATTATCTACCCAATACAGTCATTTTCACTTTTTTTTCTTTAAAGAGGAGGAACATTTCTGCCACCCCGCCATTGCAGATGCCAAATTACTGGTATCTAAAACAGAGATTCCATCTGGAGCTTGCAGTCAAGGCCAGAGCCTGAAACTTTGCCTGCTGAGCTTCCCTTCTCCCTCTGAAGCCACCACACAGCATTAGATCTCTTTCGGTAAGCAGAAGTACGTACTGAAGAAGATATACAGTTCTTACCCTTAAAAAGCACACAATTCAATGGAAGAATTAAAAAAATTATAAATGCACATCTAGCACAGTTATAAAGTTATAAAGGACAGTTATAAAGTATGCCAACATGTGATAATCTATAAATGACCCGGGGTATCTGAGGTTTCTGGTTTCAGCCACACAAATCCTAAAAGGAAGATGAGCCAAGAGGAGTCTGGCTTCAAAAAAAAGGAGGCTGGGAGTACGTGTTTTTTGGGAAAAGGTATGTACAACTGTAGGTATTCCAAAACAGATTATAAATGACTTATGATTTAGATACGAACTATTGCTTAAACATCAATAATTCCTTTTTCCTAGCAAAAGCGGGAATTGTCACAGCAAAAACAAAAACAAAAACAAAAAAAGAAAGAAAACAACATACATTAGTGTTTCTACCGAAGGGCGCATGGTCAAACAGACAGACAGACAGAACTGAACCTGATTAGAATCCCTCCCGCTTCCTTCTTTTCTCCTCTGCCCCCTTCGGTTCAACACTCACTCAGCGAACTTGCTAGAGAGAAGGACTCGTTACAAGTAGGATTTAACGCAGTCGAAGGTAATAAACATTCAAGGAACTTATTAGCTCAAAGGTCAATGGGATTATGAAATGCAATTATCAGCAAAGTGAAGGAAAAATCTAGAATGCAACAAACAAACTGAAATGAATATCCATCAACAGAACTGTATAGACGACATTTCGGGTAACTGCTTGTCCTTTGTTTAACTCAAGGCAGCACTTCTGTGAGAACAGATTTTTTTTCTCAATTGGGGGGAGATGAGTGAAGCTATCTTGCTAGAACTCCAGCACTGGAGCACGGGAGACTTTTTTTTTAAGTGCATTGTTAGACACAAAGATCACACATTTCTCAGTAAGATAACATAATATAGCCAAGAAGAAACAAAATTTGCTGATCTTCATGCCATAAAATTATAAATAGCTTAATTCCTATAATTAAAATACTGCTTCAGGGTCCCCAAAATTGAATGGGAAAACAAACCAACAAACTTGCAAGCCCCAAATTAAAGCTACTGTAAAAATAAACACACTTGGATTCTATTGGTCATGGGTTAAGGTCAGGCTCGGACTTAAATCTGAGTTTCGTGCTAAGATCTAGATGCCATACTAAACATTGTTTTTAAACATGATTTTCTGAACATAATGTCTCCTTTCTTTCTTTCTTCATTAAATTTCAAATGAAGTAGTTACTTTTGCAGGAGAAAGCAAAAAAACACATTATTATTTATGAAAAAGAAGAATCACATCTTGAACGCATAAAAATTATTACAGTTAACCAGCCTTACCTCTATTTATTAAAGTTTGCAAACTGCGGAGGGTGGGGGACAGGGAGGACACCTAGAATTTAAAGTGTTTGTGGGGGGCTCCTGCGTGGCTCAGTCAGTTAAGTGTCTGCCTTCGGTTCAGGTTATGATCCCAGGGTCCTGGCACGGAGTCCCTCACCAGGCTCCTTGCTCAGCGTGGAGTCTGCTTCTCCTTCGACTCCTTCCCCTTGCTTGTGTTCACTCTCTCTCTCTCTCCCTTTCTCTCTCTCAAATAAACAAAAATCTTTAAAGTGCTTGTTTACCACAGAACTGCAGGGAATCAAAGCCAGAATACTACAAATTCTAATAGTACTTAACTTATATTAAAAAATAATTTATAGGGCGCCTAGGTTGCCCAGTTGGTTAAGCGACTGCCTTTGGCTCAGGTCATGATCCCGGAGTCCAGGGATCAAGGCCCACATTGAGCTCCCGGCTCCGTGGGGAGTCTGCTTCTCCCTCTGACCTTCTCCCCTCTCATGCTCTCTCTCTCACTCTCTCTCTCTCAAATAAATAAATAAAATCTTAAAAAAATAATTTATACACAGAAATATCTGGGAGAGTGTAGATAATTCATTTAACATTTACTTTTACTTCCTCAAATTAAATGTTCCTTGCTGTAACAGTGAACTCTGAATCACTTTTTTCTCCCCAACTATGTTCATCTCACTCCTTTTTACATATCATTAATCCTATTAGTGATGTTTTCAGAGGTTTTATTTTGGCACTGTCACTGTAATCTATGTCACTAGTTTTAGGATCTCTCCAAATGCACTCCTGAAAAGCCTCCATAGGACTGAGATACCATGGGATATCTTCAGGGAGGAAACTTTGTGGACAGACACTATCATCAACACATTATATTTTTATTCCCAGAAGAAGTCAGAGAAAGTCTGGTGGGAAAACACTTCACTGTGAGAATAAAACATTGGTTTTCCAATGTTACGCAATATCATGCATGAGAAAATCTGCTATTTCATACAATTCTCCCAATTCGCTTTCCCAAGCACTTTGTTAAAAGAAAGCTGAAATATTAGTGCATAAGGCAGCATCCAAAACTCTGTTTCTTCTCAAGAGGGCTGAAGCACTGGAGACTAACCTATCACAAGAACAGGACCACATTTTGCTCAGCTGGAGGTTGAAATGGTAATTCACAATAAAGTCAAGGTCCTCCTCAGTGTTGTCTAATGTTGACTCTACATATCCGTGTAGAGTGGAAACTGACCTCCAACTTAAACTGACCACTGACAATAAATGGCCCTTCCCACTCCCCTCTAAACCTGACTGGTGGCCCCAGCATAAGAGAATGCTCATGACCAGTTGTGTTTTCTTCCAGAACTACTTTTGCTAATGTATTTGTTAGGGTAACTGTGTAATTTAAAAAAAATTTAGGGAAACTGGGAGTGTGGGTGGCGCTGTTAGCTAAGCATCCAACTCTTGGTTTCAGCTCAGGTAGCAATCTCGGGGTCACGAGATTGAGCCCCATGCTGGGCTCCAAGCTCCGTGTGGAGTCCACCTGAGAGTCTCTCTCCCTCCCCTGCTGCCCCTCCCACTCGTGCTCCCTCCCACTCTCTGATAAATAAATCAATCTTCAAAGATTAAAAATGTGTGAAAAGGAGAACAAGATTTAATAAAAGGGAATAGTTAAAAAATTTCACTCATTCCAAGACAACCATAAAAGACTGAGGAGAGGGGCACCTGGGTGGCTCAGTGGGTTAAAGCAGTTTTTTTTTTTAATATTTTTTTTTAAGATTTTTTTTTTAAATTTATTTATTTGACAGACACAAGTAGGCAGAGAGGCAGGCAGAGAGAGAGAGGAGGAAGCAGGCTCCCTGCCGAGCAGAGAGCCCAATGCGGGGCTCGAGCCCAGGACCCTGGGCTTAGCAGTTGACAGGAGACACAGAGAAGACAGCGCTATCTGTGACTCACCCTGGAAGTGTCTCCATACTCGGTGACAGTGACCAAGTACAAAGCACTCTCTAGGGGCACCTGGGTGGCTCAGTGGGTTAAAGCCTCTGCTTTCGGCTCAGGTCATGATCGCAGAGTCCTGGGATGGAGCCCTGCATGGGGCTCTCTGCTCAGCCAGGAGCCTGCTTCCTCCTCTCTGCCTACTTGTGTCTGTCAAATAAATAAATTAAAAAAAAAAAATCTTAAAAAAATTCTTTTTTTAAAAATGAGCAGAAACCATACTAGTCCGCATTCAGATTGCTTAAAAAAAAATCTTTAAATTCTTAATCTAATTTAGAGGAAGAGGAACTGATACTGGAAATTACGGTTGATGCACTGTGAGTGTAGTTTGCACTGAGAGGCAACTTGGCACTGTCCTGGATCTGGACCCAAAGAAAAGGTGTTGGCCCTACATCAAAGCCTGGCAAACGAGTCCACATTTATATAATTAAATGAAATAAATTTAAAATATACATATTATTTTGATCTCCTGCCTTAACCAATTTTGTTAATTCATAGATGATCCAGTAATCCTGATAATACTAGGTAAGACAGCTTCTCTTGTATTAGGAAACTCTGACCTAAGGTTGGAGCCCCGTATCTTTGAAGGAAGGCATGTAGTTAATATCTAGTGATGTTTCCTGGGGAATGAGGGAAACAGCCTGTAACAGGCTGCACTCGGGACACTGAGCAGCTTTTATTTGGACCAACACCGGCCTCTGCTCTTCAAATCTCGCATGTCAGGGCCCTCTTAACATTTCATATTTGGTCCATATCCACTGGATTCCAGAGATGGGCTTGGTTTTTCAATATAAAACTGTTAAAATCAGATCAAAAATAAAAAGCATCTATCCTCATTTCAAAAACAGCTTTGCATTATTTTTTTTCTCATCTATGTTCCTCTCTTGGGGAGCTCTTGTTTTCTATTACTTTACCTCATTTATCTCGCCAAGTCTCTGGCAAGCTACCGAACTAAGTCAAGAGCACAGCAGAGCCTGGAAATAGGACCGCCAGAGCAGCAGTGAGAAGCAGCCCTTCCAAAGCTCTTTAACAAAGTCAAACATTCTGAATTTATCTCGTTTTCTGAAAGCTGT